TTGTTGTTTTTAGTTTGTTTTTTTTAGATATATGTCCAAGGTTGTTCTTAATTACTAGCTGCTACTATTGCGTAGGAGCTAGGGGGCTGAGCTTGAGGTTGGGTAGGCGGGGTACTTGGTTTTTCAAGGCGTCTAACTTTCTCTCTTAGTTCTTTAGAGACGTTAGATAGAGAGGAGATTTAGTCTCCTAGAATTGTAGAGTTTTTCTTGTTTACTCTGCCATTCTCTGTAAAGTCTCTGAAGACTTCTATAAGGTCTAGTAAACTAGTTTGCCTAGTAGGGTTGTTTTTAGCTAGGTTAGCTGCTTGGATTACTAGGTTTCTAGCAATCTCTAAGGCCTCCTCAATAGAGGTTGCCTTTGGTGTTTTCCCTACTGTAGGGTATCTTGGCACTGCTCCAATAAATGGAGAAAAATTGCTCCTTGTCCTAGTATGGGTAGGCCTAGGCGGTTCTTCTAGTTGCCTGTTAGGGCAAGGCGTAGAGGTCTCCTCAGCCATCTCAATTTCTAGATTATTATCTATTAGTTGTTTGCTTATGCCTCTAAGGTCCTTTAAGGCTAGTCTTTTTTTGTTATTTTTATTATTTTAATATGTCTATGTTTCTTGCTAAATTTGAGCTTTAATAAGCTCCTGCGTTCCTATTGGCCCCTCTAGTCTTGGCATTAGAGCCTAAGCTCTGTGAGAAAATTCTCACAGTTGTGGGAAAACGAAGGAGGGCCTCCTTCTTCTCCCTACTGCGCGCTAGCGCCTTAGCTGCAGGTGTTAAAAATGCTGTTAGTCGATTCCTCGTGGTCGGTTCTCTTAGATAGCGTGCTTTCCTAGCGGTTTCCAGAAAACTCGAAGTTGGTTGGTCGATATAATACCTATAGTTGTAGTTGCAGTACGCTATCTAGTTTGCAGATTTAGTAGACGACTTGTGAAAGTTCCTTGCGATCTGCATTTGCAATCTGCCCTAATTATTGCAATTTAAGATGGAACTAACCTACATGCTTGAATTGAATCTTACCTTGGGAGGTGATTCGTCTAACGAATTCTCAAGCCTATGTCCCAGGATGCTTACAAAAACACTCTGGATCCAGAACTTCATCACTGCAGCGGCTGCCCATCACCGTAGAAGCTTCTCACCACCGCGACGGCTGCCCATTACCCTGGAGCCTGCCCACTGCTATCGCTATCACTACAGCTTTTACTTAATATATGAAACCGTCATCAGCAGCAGCAGCCTCTCTTACATCAGTGTCGGTTTACCAACCAACAACTATTTATAACAAGAGGATGCCGAGCCCAATGCACAGTCTCTGCAGCTACATTATCCAGGACACAGTCTGTATATCCAGCTAATCAGAGCGCGTGTGCGCTGGCACCCTTAATTATTTGCTCTGATAAAGTGTGCAGATTCACGTGTCCTGCGGATTGACCGATCATGCACGTTCTCAATACCCCTCATTCTGTACCCAATTGTGCACTCAGCCAATACACCACCTGAAGTCTGAGCCTGACGCCATTTCTTGACCGGAAAACAATTTCCATGGTATAAAAAGCGTATGTCTGATTATTCTCTTCTCAACTTGTCTGACTTCTACGATTCTTCGGCGCGATATATATTTATCGTCTAACCTATATCAATATCCACAGCCTTGATATAAAGGGGGATTATCTCGTCATCTACCATGGCTAAATGGTGCTGCGTAAGTAACGTGGCGTCGCTTATCCTTAGAACTAGGTTTAATAGCATGCAGTGTCACTGCTCTACTGTACATGAGACAACAACCTCATCATGCAGTCCTTGCTGTAATGCCTGTCAAGCAGCAAGCACTTCGCACACCAAATGCAACTCTTGCACGAATACCGATGGCTAGAGTTTATAGCTGTAGTCGTGGGTAGCTGGCGTGGTGGTGATGGGCCATTAATGTAGAGTAGTGCCGAGATCACGTGCTGTATATGCGTTGAGAGCTTATCGCGTTAGGGCTTAATGCCGCTAATAATTATCGCGGTTTTTAATCCTTCTACACGTTTTGGATGCTCGTGCTATATGTATTTCTTTGGACTCTTCTAAGAAACAAGGTCTGAACGACTAGCTATATACATTATGCTAGGTGAGAGTCTCACCCTTAGTACTGATCTTGTCAAAGTTCAGCAGCGCATTGGTTCTTGAAATTTTAGTAATTTATAGCGCTGTCTAAGCTGTCTCAGAGTTCCATTACACAAAGGCTTGTAGCATTAGACGTCTTGAGACCAGGGGTACTAAAAGAGATGTCAAAATCAAGCAGAATATCACCTATGCCGGTGTAGGGACTAGAGGGGTATATATTCCCCCTATCAAGCATCATCTCCAGACGCTGCAGATATGCAAAGCGCTAGCGTCCAAGCCCTACGCTAGCAGAGTAAGTAAATGGACAAGAATAACCCCAAGAACCTGCACGTACCATTGAAACCCGTCATAGCTTGGTGTACATCATTCGGGTGTTCCGTCATGAAGACCATCCATGCCAGAGAGGTGTATATATATCTTTTGTCTGTCACGCACTCCATTCGCCGCGTGTCTGTCATCGTAAGAAAATTCGTATATACCGCACTCTTCGTAGCATTTCGCAGGGGCAGATTGCTGGTATTCGGCGTATTAGAGAATTATAAGAAGGAGCATAAATCAGGGAGGGTTTCGGGTCTAGGGTCAAAACTGCTCTATAGCTCAATAGTGAGCACTGAAAAATGGTGTATGTAGGTGTGGATTCTTGATATGCTCCATATAGCGAGGCCACACTATGTCCTGGCGGAGAGGGAAGGACGTGGCCGGGATGCGGCGTGCTGCGTGTCATTATAGGATGGTGGTGGTTAGAATTGGAACAGAGAGTATAGTTGCAAAGCAGTATACTGGGGGACAAGCGATCTTAAATGATATAGCGTTTTTGCAAATGCATAAAGAGTGGAAGAATATATTGTTTGTTACTACAATCACGACGTCTATATGGCCCATTGCATGGGAAAACACGCAATAGTATTCTGTCGCGTTTGCTTTTAGATTGACACTGAATTAACAATGAGAACCACCATCTAGTTTGCCCAGCCTTGCTTGATCATTGCATCAGCAATCTTCCCCGCAAACGCATACACGCTTGCGCTTAGATGGCCAGATATCTGCGTAGGAAAGGCGCTGGCATCCACCACTCTTACGTTTCGCGTCCCATATACCTTGCCGTTGGAATCCAGCACACCACCCAGGTCGCGGCTCATCATCGCGCAGGTGCTCGCAGGATGCGAGTTGCCGTTAACAGTTTTCTTGATCCAGGCATCCCAACTTTTGTCTCTCCATCCTGCGCCTTGGGGTACGGTTTCGAAACCAGGCGAGACTTCATCGGTGATGTGGTCGGCGAGGGGCGCAGTCGCAAAGTATTCACGAATGCGGACTGCGGCGGCTGCCTGGACGTAAGCGTCAAATGGCAGCTGGAAGAATGCAGGGTCGATTCGAGGGGGGAGCGTGGGGTCGGTAGCATTGATGTGAATAGAGCCTCGAGAGAGAGGCAATAGGTTCCAGAGCTGGGCAGCTATATTGTTTCCTATCGGGGCCCATAGAAGCTCAGCTAGTGGGATCTTGCTGTCGGGATCAAAGATTAAATCGACTTGATGCTTGAGGAGCTGCTGCTGCGTCTCGACTGAAATCGTATCTGATGCATAGTCGGCAACAATAGCTGCTGCGTATGTGCTCAGATTGGCTCTGACCTCTTGGGTAATGGAATCCAAGTCTTCACCAAACAGGTCGGAAGCCGTCAAGTAGGTCACAAAGGTGGGATATCCGGTCCAGTTAGTGGATGAAGAATAGATGATGCCGTTCTGCGGCTGATCCGGCAGATTGGAGCCAACTGAACATAGCGGGACGACTGTTTGGATGCCGAGGGGCCCGAGAATAGCTGGATTGCCCACACCAGAGTGTTCGAGAAAGGCCGGTGATTTGATGGCACCGGCTGCCACGACGACTTCCTTGGCAGCACGTATGCTTTTCGTGACATTATCCGCAGTGATGAACTCGACACCAGATGCAAGTACCTCATCCGTCTCAGTCCTGCTCTTGTCCCAGAAAATTTTCTTTGCCGTAGAGTTGAGAAAGACGCGTAAATTCGGTCGAAATGCGACGGGATAGTAGAAGGCCCTTGCTGCATCCTCACGTGTTGGTCCATCCTCGCTCAACGTCATGGGCCAGGTGTTGAAGCCACGCATGAGGCCGTTATTGGGTTCTTGGTTATAAGAAAATCCAATCGCCTCTGACGTCTCTTTCATCAAATCGGCAAAACCTTGACCGACAAGATATGGAGTGAATCCTACAGCAAGGTCGCCGTCATTTCCGTGCGCATCACCCTCGTACACTGCCCCCTTTTGCTTGAGTTCTTCGGTAGGTGGCTGAAAGTTTTCCTGTGCGAGATAGTACTTCCACATACTATCCCAATTCCACTCTTGATTTCCCAACTCTTGCCAAGCATCGATCTGATCCTTCTCTGCGCGTAGATATGTCATGCCATTAATGGCGGTACTTCCGCCCAGCGCTTTTCCCGCCCAGTAGGGAAGTGTGTTGTTGGCCGCATATCTTTGAGGCACAGTCACGTAGCCCCAGTCAGTAGAGGTTCCGATGAAAAGTCCGAATTCGGCGATGGACTTTGGAACATATGTTACATTGGCATTGTCGTATACGGAACTTCCAGCCTCAATCACCGCAACGGTGGTGTTTGGATTGGTCGACAAGCGGTTCGCGACAACAAGACCTGCTGGGCCTCCGCCAACAATGACATAATCGAATGAATCTGGCGCACACGCGGCGAGGAGAAGCCGGGCTAGGTTGAGAAAGAGGAGGTAGCGTGACATGATAGTTGTAGAGTACCGCATAAGTGTGCCTGGGACAGAATTTACTCTTTATCCCGAAGTATGTGGAGTTGCCAAGTAACAAAGGCGTCCCATGCCTCTGCTTGCAGCGTCATAGTGGTAGTGTGGTAGTAGTCGGCCATTGGCTCGTTGCGTCATCGCCAAGCTTGGCAATGGGAGTGCTGGCCTAACTGGATAAGTACTAGCTCACGTTCAGATCGAGTACGGCACCAGGCATGGTGCAAGCATCGCTAGCAGCGAGAATATATTCTATTCTGCGATAATAGTGTTTCTGATAGCGAGGGTTTAGGCGATGCGGCGATGCAATTCTTCCTATTAGCGAGAAGGTATTCATGCGGCGATCAATTCTGCTAGGTTGACGAAATATCGGATCCTATAGTGTTGGTCTCTGGGAGGGCCGGGCCGAAGTGTGGCATGTGTGTAATAGCCAGAAAAAGATGTGAATTTCGTGTAAAACGACGGTTCTACCGTATATTTGCAACAAGACGGGTGTGTAGAGTTATGGAGTGAGGTGGTGGTAGTAGTGGTACTTGACCACGGCAGCTTAAGACAGTGCCAAGAAACATGTAACAGGCTCTACACGTGCACTGCCGCGCAGCAAATCGCAGCAAATCGCAGTAAATCGTGGTAAATCGCTGTACTTATATCGCAGCAGCATATCGCAGCAAATCGCAGCTCAAGTGAGGAAACGTTGATGCCGGGCGACTCAGCCATCTCGAATCGCCGCAGCGGGCGAATCATATGACAGGCCGTCTTTGGTTTCGCCTTGTCCGAGTTGCCGAGGCACATGGATTCCCCACGATACCCACCCCCAGTCCGCGCCATCAGCCGGCGCACGTCGCGCACCCACGTCTGGAGTGCCCTTTTACTTCTTAGACCTGGCCTGTCCCCTTATTCTTGCGCTTCTTCCTCTCCTTCCCCCTCTTTCCCATCCATCATCGCTGCTGGCTGCTTAGAAACGCGCCCAACATGCCCTTTAACACTGAACTCACGAGGAAGCTCGGCATCAAAGGTAGGCCCACCAACCGCTTCCTACGCGCATACCTTGTGACTGACTTTTGAAAAGTCCCTGTTGTGCAGGGAGGCATGCAATGGGTCGGCTACGCTGAGCTTGCGTCGGCCGTCAGTAACGCTGGTGGTCTTGGAATAGTAGGCGCCCGCGCCCTTTCGCAGCATACACCCTTCTGACCACAGCCCATAGTTGACCGCCCTCACTCAACCCACGCCCGAAGACCTCCGCAAAGAGATTCAACGATGCCGCACCATGACCAGCAACCCCTTTGGCGTCAACCTGACCCTTCTCCCGGCCATGGTCCCTCCAGACTATGGCGCATACGCACGTGTCATCATTGAGGAGGGCGTCAAGATTGTCGAGACGGCTGGAAACAGCCCGGGCCCGGTCATCAAGCAGCTCAAGGCTGCCGACGTAATAATCCTGCACAAATGCACTACCATCAGACACGCCAAGGCTGCCATCAAGCTGGGTGTCGACTTTCTGTCCATTGACGGCTTCGAGTGCGCCGGCCACGTTGGCGAGACCGACATTACCAACTTCATCTTGCTCAGCAGGGCTCGCCAGTCGCTCGGTGTGCCGTTTATCGCGTCAGGAGGCTTTGCCGATGGTCACGGCTTGGCCGCTGCCATGGCCCTTGGAGCCTGTGGTATCAACATGGGCACCAGGTTCATGTGCACTGTCGAAGCACCCATCCATAACAACATCAAGCAGGCCATCGTAGATGCCCAGGAAACAGACACCACCCTCGTGCTCCGTCGATGGAAGAACACTTCCCGTCTCTTCGCCAACAAGGTGGCTCTCCAGGCCGTCGACATTGAAAAGACCAGCCCAACCGGCAAATTCGAGGAGGTTGCCGAGTACGTCAGTGGCAAGCGTGGCCGACAGGTCTTCTTGAACGGCGACAAAGACTTTGGTGTAAGTTAAAAATGCCCTTTTACATGTTTGCCCACCATCTGACAGCTCTAGGTCTGGACTGCCGGCCAGGTTATTGGTCTCATCCATGACATTCCCACCAACGCGGAGCTCCTCCGCCGCATTGAGCGCGAGGCTGTCGAAACAATGAAGCGAACCCAGTCGCTGTATATCCCTGAGAACGAGAGCATTGCCAAGAGCAAGCTCTAGTCGAGTAGCTATTAGCCATCGCATTTGGAGCGCATAATCTGTAGACAAAGTATTGATTTTCACGCGTACATGGTGTCATGCCAAGATACGAGACATGTTCCACATCTTCGAAGTCACTATGACGTCTGAAAGCAGCACCACTACATATGTATCCTTCATAGAGCACCATTTTCTGGAAACTAAGCACCTTTCTTAAAATTCATTCCTCGGACTTCCATAAACAAGCAGAACTCGAGTATAACTTTGAGACCCTAAATATCACATACCCTCATGTCATCCCTCACCAGCCAAGAGTCGTCCACCACACAACCCCAGAATCCAGTCAACCCTAGCAAAGACGCCGCAGGTAGCTTCAAAGGCGATCCAAGCGTGCCATTCAAGAGTGGCAGCTCGACCGACCCTGCAGGTCTAAGCGCCTCAATCGACAAGGTATGCCACCACTGATCCGCAGTGACCATGTAAGACCGATACCCCAGATCGTATACTAAGCATAAGCACGCGTCTAGCCCGCATGCGGCCAGCACAATGCTTCCGATACCTCGGAACAGCGGCGCGGGGAAGACATGACGCAGAACACGAAGCAAGAGTATGAAGGAGATAGTAGCTTGGGTACGAAATCGGGAAGCGAGAGTTTGATGGACAGCGTGGAGCAAAGTATGCATCAAGGTGGTGATCAGGATAGATCTGATGTCGATGTGGGTCAGGTCACTGCTAGAAGATAGAGCAGTCAGGGTGAGCCACGTGATGTAGGTCACTAAGAGATCTACCTGGGGGGAGGGGATTTTGTAAAAATACCAAGTTATTGACTCTATTCACGCGGCTAGAATCTACGGTTTCAACTGCAAATCATAGTGACCTGGATTGAGTCGAATCCGGCATCCAGTTTCCATTCTGGCGTCGCTGTCCACGCCATCTTGTCTCCGCACTATAGCCACCAAACTAGACTCGCGCGGCAACAACAGATACCCCGTCGTGCTCGTCGGTACGGTAATCTTCATTCTGACATTGTGGCGTTCATCGTCTGTCTCATACTCAACCCGGATATGTCCATACGGACACTCGACACAGCCCTCCACACGCTTAAACTCGCTGTTCAGCGGCGGCTTCAGCGTCCACGTGCGATACGCCTCAGTCTCTGGCGCGAGTCCCAAAACCGCGCTGTATAACCACTCGTAAATCGTACCCAGCATGTCGTGGCTCTTGCTGCGGCACGCATCCTGCCAGAACTCATTGAGCGTTGTTTCGCCCTGGCGCAGGAACCGCATGTAGCTGGGATGCCCCTCCTGGCGCGCCATTTCGAGCACAATTTCTGGGCGCTCGAGGTCCGCGAGCGTGTTCCAGATGTACTTGAGCCCGATTTCACCGGCTTGCATGCGGTTCTTCGCTGCGGCGCAGCACGCGAGGAATGCGCGCTGGATATCGGGGATGTGTGCGCTGGGAACGAGGTGGAATTGTAAGGCAATGGCTTGAGCTACCATGTTGCGATCTTGGGTTCCTGGATTGTCTCTCGATGTGTAGAAGGCGTATGGATATAGTTTTTTATCTGTAACAAGGAGGTGTTGGTTGTACACTTTGAAGATTCCATCAGCCCATTCACGGAATCGCTCTTCAGCGTCAAACCTCCTCAGCTCGTGCGCCATGCGCTGGATATTGCGGAGACAGCGGTAGTAAATCGCCGTCTCGATGTTGGCTTGGTTATTTCCAAACGCAATGTCACGGCCCCAGTCCCCAAGACCGTGTTCGATCAGTCCGCCATGGCGTTCTTTTGTCCGGATGTATTCCATGTAGCGCACGCAGGGGTCGAATAGTTTCTCAAAACTATGCGTGGAATCGTAGTAGAAGCGCAGAATCTCGGGGAGTAACGCGACGGCGCCGCCCCATGTGATGGTGTCGTGTAGGGGCCCGCACATGTACCGCATCTCAGGAGCCATGGTCGGACAGAGGCCGTTTGGCTCCTGGGCGTCGACAATGTCATCGAGGATCTTGGTGTAGAGAGACTCCATATCGCGGATGTACTGTGTCGACGGCGCGAGCAAGTGCGTCACTTCGAGCCAGCCGAATTTCTCAATCTGCGGGCAGTCGGTGTGGTAACTGAATAGGTTGCTGACGAAGGACCAGTAGCACATTTTGATGAGTGCATTGACGTCCTCCTTGTCAGTCTTGACGTAGCCGAGTCGCCGAGCTGCAGATGAGACGTGTCTGCTGGTAATGGAATGTATGACAGGAAAGCATTTGCCTTGATCCAGCGAAACGCCCTCGACTTGGATGTACCGCGCTGCCGTGAAGCAAAAGTCTGGCTCCCACGTCTCGATACCGGTTCCCGAGAGCGTAAACTTGCAAAAGACGCCCGTCTCGAACTGCTTGAATAGGGGATCTGGCATGAGAACTTTTCCGTCATTACCAGTGGTTTCCGAAAATCGAACAATGATCTCTGAGCCCGCAGGGCCGCTGACTTCAAGTTTGACCATGGTACTCATGTTCTGGCCGAAATCGAACGCTGCTATTCCAGGCTCCAGATGATTCGTGGAGACGGGCTCAAATGTCTCGTGCAGTACAACAGGCGGCTGGCTCTGGTATTTGAGCTTACCTCGAGGACCAGTGACGGGCGTAGCATTGCTCCACTGGTCATCCTCTTTGAAGCCAGGAGCATCCCATCCAGTTGGATATGCACGTAGATCTTTCGTCTCGGAAGAGTATATGTTCGCCAGTGTAGTTGCGCTCTTACGTAGCCTCCAATCAGGACCAGTTGTAACCGTCTCGCGCGGTCCGTCCTTGTAGAAAAGATGGATCTCGGCAAAGAAACATAGCTCGTTTCCGTATCGGACGTAGGTGTTGTCTTCGTAACAAGGCCAGAAGAACCTATCGTCGCCTTGATCTCCGGCGTAAAAGCCGTTGCCGACGTGAGCGCCCAGTACGTTCTCGCCTTGTTGTAGCATGTTTGAGACATCATAGGCGACAAATTGCACAGTTCGATGGTAATTCGTCCACCCGGGATCCAGAACATGTCCATTTGCAGCTTTGGCATCGCCGTTACAGACGAAGTTGAAATGGCCCAAGCCTGATGCAAATACTATTGCTCTGGCCGGCTTTTGGTCCAAGTGAAGGGACTTCCGTATATAAAGAGGTTTGTCGCCATTGTCACCAATCCACACGCCTTTCCACCTGTTGGGCTCGTCCTCGAACCATGTGCGAAATATCAAGCTTGTATGCGGCATGTAAGTCTGATTCATGCTGTAGGGAGGCAACAAGCCGCTCGAGCGCGGATAAGCAGTGAAGAACTCATTTGGATCGCTCTGAGAAACCTCGCCGTTCTGGTCCCATACTGTAACACGCTAGTAGTGGAATGTTGCTGATAAAAAACCGCCATCTGGGGCACAAAGAACGTTGCGTTGCCTGTTGCTTTCTACTTTACCTGAATCCCATAGGAGAGTCTTGAATGATGGGGTTGTGGAAGCCTCGATGCGGTAGGCTGTCTGTTGCGCATCCTCATGGTTCGAGTCAAGCACCCAGTAGAAGCGTATCTTGTCGGTATCGATTCCAAGCACTTCGTGAAAGGCATTTATGCCGCAGCGTGTGACTTTGAGGGCCATATGGGATGTGTATTCGATAGACGAAAGCTAAAAGTGTTTGAGATTGATTCCACTGAGCAAGGCATTAGTTGTAGGGAACTACTCCTTTCCAGCGCGTAAAACTTGGTATCGGAGCAGAGGTGTTTCCAGATTGGAAGAAAAGCTGTAAGTCGAGGATGTTATCAACAACTAGTGCATGGAGACTCGGAAAAGCCGAATCACGGTTCTCATAACTGCATCTGGGCGTGTTCTCAGTCACTGTGTGAGAGGTGCTTTGCCCACATCACTTAGCGTTCCCCACTTCCCCCCGACAACAGCCTCACTTTCTGGTTGTCTGCCCCCGAGGCCTGCTGTACGCTCAGAAATATCATTGAGTTTCCATCGCATTGCTATAGAGAACTGCCGCCCTTTTATCGTGTTCCTTTGCAAAGAAAAAGGTTCTAATCAGGACTTTTAGGGTTCTTATAGCCATAAGGAATATTTGAGTTGGAAACGAAGTAAATAGGGCTGTCATTTCTCATCCACATGACGAGCAAAGTATTTTGATAGAAATAGGCAATTTCTCAAATCCCTTGTGGTCTCTACATTCTTGGTACAATTCAAATAGTTCTCGTCGATAGACAAAGAAGGCTACATAACTTCTAGTCTAATGTACAAATCCTTCATCATACGAACTCACAAGTGATTCCATACTCTCCCTTCGGAAACCTCAAAGCTAGTCTTCTGGTCCCCCACCACAACACCATACGACCCTGGTTCAATCCTCCATACTCTCTCTGCCTCGTCCCAGTAACTACAAGCCATATCTGACTGAATTTCCACCGTGACGGTCGCTTCTTCCCCTGGTGTCAACGTTTCAGTCTTAGTAAAGCCCTTAAGCTCCTTCTCGGGGCGCCACACAGGCGTATTCGAAGGCGGTACGATATAAACTTGTACTACATCCTTCGCGGCTGCTTTTCCATCGTTCTTTACCAACAGAGTGCATGTGAGTTTGGAGTCCCGCGAGACGCCACTGATCGATACCTCGAGTCCGCGGTACGAGAATGAAGTGTAGGTCAACCCGTACCCGAAGGGCCATCTTACTTTGTCCGTTAGGCCATCCGCTCGGTACCCAACACCAACGCCTTCTGTGTATTCAACAGTCGCAGTTCCATCACCGTTATCCTTGGGTGGGAAATACGGGGAACTGGGCGCGTCTGACAGCGTCTTGAACCATGTGGTTGCCAGCTTGCCACTTGGAGAAACGCGCCCGGTGAGTAGTTCTGCTGTGGCAGCAGCACCTTCTTGGCCGGGGAAATGTGCTAGAAGAACTGCTTCGACATCATCAATCACCTCTCTGACATCGATGGGATTGCCGGCATGAAGGATCAGAACCGTTTGACGAGAGGCGGCAGCTACAGCTCGTATTAATCGTGTTTGGTTCGTCGGGAGTTCTATGGATTCGAGATCGAACCCTTCGGATTCGTACTGCTCGTTGCGGCCAGCGTAGACGATGCTGACATCGCTTTTGCGTGCGATTGAAACTGCCTCTTCGATGGCATCATGCTCAGAGTAGGCTTCTTCGAAGCAAAGCGCAGCAGCATAGGGCGTTGGTTCACCGATGCTCAGTTTCTCAGGCCCTTGCATAATGAGCTCGACCTTGTACTCGATCTCTGCTTCCATTTGAACGGGTGTGCGGACTTCAAGCAGGATGTGGTTGAAGATGAACTGCTCCGTTGTGATAGGAATAGCAGGACTCGAGCAGACATCCTTTCCATCGACCATCAATTTGAACGACCCGGTGCAGCGTACCGCTAAAGTGTGCAGACCTGTTATCAAAGGTACTAGGGTAGTCGAGAGTCGCACGTGGGATCCAGGGACTTTGAGCCCAGGTTTGAACTGGCCCAACATCCAAACCTGACCTTCTTCACTTGTTTCCGTGAAAACAGCATCTTCAGGGTTGCCATTGTTGTAAAATGCAATGTCAACGCCAGGCGAACCATTCTTTGCCCGACTTATTTCCTTAGAAACAGTCGGAATGATACGTCGCGTCCGCACACCCTGTGCATATTCAACAGTCTTGAACTCTTTTCGGAAGACATCGAGAGGAGAATGCCGATACTGCGGGATGCAAGACGCACTGCCTCCACCAGTGCAAACAGGATCTTTGGCGTATTCGCCGATAAGCGCCACTGCGGCACTATTCGAAATCGGAAGTGTATTGCCTTCGTTCTTCAGCAGCACCATGCCGCCACAAGCAATTTCCCGAGCGAGGTCTCCAGTTTCCTTTGTGACCACTGAACGCTCAGCCTCACTACCAAGACAGCCTCTGATACGGTCTCTTAATTCCAGCATCTTGAGAGCGCGGGCGTCTATTTCAGCCTCGGAAACTTCACCTGATTTTACTTTGGCTACCAGACGTGCTCCGCGGAAAACTGGAAACGGCATTTCGAGATCAAGTCCGGCTTTGATAGGCGCAACTGTGTCGTGAACCGCGAACCAGTCCGACATGGCGATGCCCTTGAATCCCCAGTCGCCACGTAGAACTTCGTTGTATAGCTCGGTATGCTCGCTGCAAAAGATGCCATCGACCTTGTTGTAACTGTGGGTGTTAGATGTGAATCATTGTACAAGTATTAAACCTCCTCACGCTGTCATAACGCCCTCTGGATCACAGCCTCGCAGTAGATACTGCCATGCTGCCAGGTAGATCTCTCGCAGCGGCCTCCCATTTACTTTTTCTTTGACATCGTAGAAGTGTCTTAGCGTCTCTGCATCGTTGGCCACAAAATGCTTTGGACACGATCCAACACCACCCCGCTGTACGCCATTGACGATGGCGCTGGCCAACGCGCCCGAAATGAATGGGTCTTCAGAGAAGCATTCGAAATTCCTGCCAGCGCGCGGGTCGCGATGAATGTTAATTGTCGGGCCTAAAACCACTTGTGCGCTTTTCTGTCTTGCTTGTCGTGCTAGCTCTTCGCCCAGTCTGCCCAGCAATTCACTGTCCCATGTGGAGCCATAGCAGGCTGTATTAGGAAATGAAGCTGTTGTAGTGCTAGCTTCCAGTCCACTCGGTCTTATTCCACAGACTGAATCAGCAACACGAAGGGGAGGTATGCCCAGTCGTACCACACCAGCCGCGTGCGTAAAATCACGGCCCGAGAGTAAAGTAACTTTTTCGTCGAGCGTCAGCTCAGCAAGGAGATCGGTGAATTTGGCGGGTAATTGGCTCATGTTGTGCAGGGGATTGAATACGGGGTGGCTGCTTTGTAAGGTACTGCGGTATTCATGATATGCAAGGGACGACACGGCTTATCCGACAGATTTCGGGATTTCCGACACTCGTGAGACACAACGTTTGGAGTGTGGAGAACCCAACCCGAGGCCATTCGGGCAAACATTGCAGCGGCATTTGTGCACAATAAACGGCAAATGCGCGATATAACGTATGTGTGGCTCCGGGGTTGAATACGGGGAACTTGGTGACATCTTGTATGGGCTTTTAATGTTCGACACTGGACGACGGTCTTTGTGAGGTGACTTGCAGCTCTGCGTGGTTTACAAAAACATTCAATATGTTCCTATAGTGCATACGATGTGGCGAGACATAATGAATCAACTAATCAACTAACCATCCCAAACAAAGTTCTGCTCAGTTTTTTCCATCAAAATCCTGATAGCCATGCCATAGTCACCTGCATTGGGTGTTCGTATTAGAGTATGAATATGAAACCTCGCAGGATCCTTGTTTGTGAGAAAGACTCCGGAATGGTGATCGAATTCAACGATAATGACTGGACTCTGGATGCGATAGTAGAAGGCATCGCTATCGCCAAAGCCGCCAATCCAGCAAAAGTAGGTTTCGTGGTACCAAGATTCCGCTTGGGCCAAGCGCAGCTTTCGGGCCTGAGAGGGGAGGTAGAGCAGGAACTCGGATAGTATTGCGGTGACCAGATCTCGAGCAGGAGTGCTCATGTCGCTCACTTTAATACCTTCATACGGCACTATCCGGTTGTCGCGATACGCACCACACAAATGTCGTTGGTCGTCGTGATTCCAGCGTCCGCGCGGCATTGTTGGATCGTGGAGCAGCTTGTACAGCTGTGCTTTGGCCTGTAGTTGAGGTGGAAGTGACTGCATCAGCTGTAGTCCAAGACGGTCTTCTTCCTGTAGGATGCGAGTGCTTGCGAAGGGGTCTTTCGGATCGTCAATGACATTCGGTTCGGCTCCAGTGAAGCAAGGAGATACAACTATCTGGTTACGATAGAGTAGAATGTTGAGGCAAAGATGGTGGCCATAGAACGAAAAGCCCCAAGGTGCAGTGACTGAAGGGCTCCCAAACAGAACCAGGTTGTAAGAGAAGTCGTTACAAATGCGCGGAGCTTTCACTAGACGGCCTAGAAATCCATTGATTCTCATGGCCCCGAGAGCTTTTTGGTAGCCTTCCGGTCACAGTGTGCCCTCCAGTAACGCCAGAGCGGCGTTTCGTACGTTGTCATTGACTTCGTCTAATCGAATGCCTTTGTCGCTCAGTAGGAACTCCGGGTTAGACCAAGATCTCCATTCCGGTGAATCGATATGGTATGCTATCTTTTCCTTCTGAGATTCATCCAGGAGTGAGAGTAGAGACTGAGCTACATTTGTTATTTCGGCAACGGGAACACCCTCATCCTTGAGTTCAAAGAGGCTTGTTCGAACTGATCCATCGTTTGTGATTCCCCGAAACGGCTCTTCAAAAAGCTGTCTCCAATGCTTCCACAAAGCATGCAGCCAGGGAGGCTGCGCGTCGCGTTTGAAAGCTTCTGCATACTCATGTGCGTCTTGTTGTTGCAAAGTCGTGAAACGGGGCTGGCTGAGGTCAGGCAAGAATTGCCGGAAGTCGCTATCGCTTGCTGACATGACTTTATGGTATGATAAATATTCAAATATGTTTGTCTCCTGGAGATGCTCAAACTGTGCTGGAAAACTGCTTTTGTTTTCCTTGGGGTGTCGGCTCGGCTCGGATTTGCCATCTCCGATTCACCAAGTCCGGCTTTTCCGCGCCGTGCCTGTGCCTGATACTAGTCCTGGCCTACATCATGTGCCGAATTTGAGCAGCTAATTATCATATCAAAATATGGTGACATTTGACACTAATGGGTGATTTGAAAGTAAGAAACATTTGATTTGACTGTATGCTGCAACATATCGTATCATCCCAGGCCAAATGACAGTCCCCTCGTTCACGCGGCTGGTACATTTTGTGCCAACTTCAGACGCATCTCGAGTATGAATTGGAGAGTCAGAGTCAGATGTTCTAGACGTCGGAATGACCATGTGGAAGGGCGAACCAGTTTCGACTTTTCTATGATATGGTGTATCTGTACTCTCTCCTGGGACCAAAACAGATCGGCGCGAAGTCATTGGCCGGTTACTCTCCCCAGTTGCTGCTACGGAAGACGGAATAATCCGTTGCATCAGGCTGAATGTAAGCATTTGCTTTAGGAATTGATCTACTAGCTGATGATTATTAGTACGTGCAACATGCTGAAGGCCTTAACATGAACCTGCCAATTGTACCTACCATTTTCCTGTAAGCCTTTCCTCATTACCATTGTTCTAACACTTCTCATATACCTCCAGAAAACCAACTACTGCGCTTAGAGACCCAGGGCCAGTCCCCACATTACTGCCAGAGCTTACGCAGGCAACCGACACTGGCGACTACGAATCAGCTAGCGGTTGTACTGGGCAGAGCATGCAAGAATATATCCGAAGAGGCGCTCGACTATGTTCTGGGCTATGCAGCATGTAAAGATGTCTTTAGCAGAGCAGGCCAGTACGCAGAGACACGACGCAATGGTACTTGTCCAAAGGCTTTGATGGCTCGTGTCCTATTGGTAGGATTCAACCACCTTAACAAGGACGCATACTGAACTGCTCTCTAGGCCCAACAGTTGTGTCGAAATCCGTGATTCCTGATCGTCGGCACTTCGCATCCGCGGTCTTGAGAACGTTGAGGTAAGGCAGTGATCTCATGTAGCATTTGAAAGCTTATTAGCTTTTCAACCCAAAGTGCAACACTTCCGGCGGGTACAGCCATCATCACTGCAACACCGGCTGGCGTAAGTGCAGGATGTGATCCCAAAGTCACCATCCGAGAAGGTGACGAGTTCGCTGTTGAGATCCTTCCTCATATTGGAACTCTTCTCGGCGTTTTTGAGAATGAACGATAGAGCGTCATTGATCTCCTAAGAACAATAACATGGGATTGTTCTGGTCAAACCCGCCAAGGTAAGCGGCAATGTCGAAATCCATGGCATTGTTGTCCAAAAGTCCAAGTGAACCCCAATAATGGTTCAGCTGATTCGAGTGGCCTTCCGCATCTGTGAAAAGAGAGCTGACAGGGTCGGAATCAAGGAAAGCATGACTGGGGTTGTTGTTGTCGTCCGCTGCCGCACTTTCCGATACTCCTCTGTGTTGAGCTTTATCTCTCGCTCGCCGCAAGAGCTTTGCTGCCTCCACAGCGACAACGCTCTCGTCCATGGATTCTAGAATTTCTATGGCCATGTTGACTAGTTCAAATAGCGATTGGATCTCTTCGTCGCTGGCCGAACCTTGCGCGACGTAGAGCAATATGACAGAAGCGGCAAAGACGGTATATGTAGCGTTATAAAACCTGGTCTCATAGTCAGTGATCCGTTCAAGGAGCTACTTCGATAGATAAGGTGGCATACCAAGTGTGGAAAAAGTCATTATGTGCGTAAGTCTCATAGATAATAGTGATTGTCTGTTTGGCTGACTCGAGGCATTTGTGCACGTTCTCTAGGCATCCCGGGATGTTTCCGCGCTCGGCAGGCGATGATCTTATGAGTATCGAGCCAAAGAGAAGAATTTTGAGGTTATGGTATCGTATACTCAGCACAAGCCTTTGCCGCTTGACCCATATCGCGTCCTTGGCGGAGCTTAGAGAAGACTTTTGCCGGAGTTGATTCTGTACGCAAGGCCGGATAGCATCAGGGAGCCCATCGAGCCAGCCATTGAGTTCGGCCTCTATCTCATTGGTCAAAGAGATCATTTCGGAGATGCTTGCATTAGACAGATATAGTTTCTGACAGATTCGCCTGGTTATCCTCGAAAATTCGACCATGCGGCCAATAATGGCGCAATGGGGTGGTTCGAGCATCTCAGAGTCAACTGGGTTTGCTGGGGTTGCTGTCATGTCCATTCCTACCAATGGAAGTCTCCGGTTGTGGTATAGGTCTGCACCCAGGGTGTCCGGCCGCCCAATAGAGAACGAAATCTCCCTATTCAAATTAGAAGGCCCGTATACTGGGACATGCTAACCTACATTTCAAGTGAATACAGACCCCTATAAAGTTAGCCATGATCCAGTTAGCTAGGGATGTAGGGAGCTCACCACCACGTTCTTGATTCCGCCTTTAGTTGGGCACTTGTTTTCTTTGTATCAGGTCCGGGCTCTCGATTCACACCCATAGCCAATGCTGTTCGCACAGCAAACCCGGTATACATATATGACCCTAATGAGTATTAGCCACCGAATAGCCCTCGGAGTGGGGATACCAACAATGTGGGTTGAGTTCGTTCTGGCAAACTTTTGCCTAGATACAGCTTTAGTAGGAGGTCGTTATAAAATTCCAGACTGGCACGTACCATCATGAAGAAACACTGAACCATGTCGAGATTGGTGATGAGCCCAAGTGAGTGACAGCATGTCCAAGCCATGCCAAAGAACTTGCGTGACCATTGGAGATTAGTCAGGCCGTCAATATCTTCTTCTTCGCGGACTCCGACCATCGCTCCTACAGAAAGAATACTGTAATAAAGGGCAACAAAACTGGTAGGTTGTTGAGAACTAGCCTCTGCTGTACAAGATGACCAGAGTGCTTCGCATTTTTGAATGAATTCACGCTTGTCCAGGATGGGGTGGATATAATGGATGGTAGAGAAGAAGTTCTCTATGAAGTTTCGGCATTGGGGATAGTAATCAGCACGCGTAGTACCAGCATCAGGGCCATCTGCGTGGGAATCGGTGGGTGTCGTCTGAAAGGTGGCATTATGTAAACTGGAAACTAGCTCAGCAGTGTTTTCGTTGTCGCGCGAGTTTTGTCCTAAGCGCTGTACGCGAGATAGCAGAGCAAAGGATGATGAACTCCCATAGAACTCGATGCCGTCTGTGTGACCATTCGCTCCCGAGATTTCTTCTGCCACGACACTTCGAACGGATACCGATGTGTTTGGCCTGGAAGCGGCATTCGTTTCTTGTTGTGGGCCTCGAATTTCCAGTGAACTCTGATGAAATCGCACCGCAGGCTGCACATTTGGCGAAGTGATAGGTGTATTCGAAAGACGCCGCACCTCATCCTCCAGCTGCTTCACATATTCTGCCGTGTAGCGTCGAGAGGTGTTCTGCAGCCCTTGGTAAACACACGTTACATTGCGGCCTTTGCAGTAAGAACAAGGATAGGATTCGTCGCATTTGTTCTTCTTCGCACGGCAAAGATCGCACGCGCGGGCGGCACGGGGTCGGCGCAAGCGCTGGGGCGTTCGGGTAGAATTACGGTCGTCTAACTCCATCAAAATGCTTCAGGCGGATCGGATCAATAAGCTTGTCTGGATAGACAAAATAGTTGGTGATGGAGCAGATGAAATCACGATGGAAGTCGGGGCGGGCACGGTTGCAAGCCGATTCAGTTAGCAAGGCTATCCCTGCACAAGACATACGTAGACGCGCAACCAACCTACGTTGAAAGCAGACTCTCTTGCATGTCACGACATATAATTCGTTGCGCCCCCCACGTTTTCAATACTTCCCCAGCTTTCTAGTGCCCATCTAGACTCGCTACTGCAGCAGTTGGGTATTCGTTCCAACAGATGTTCCACAATAGCGTCTGGCCCCTTTTCTACTTGCAACCCAAAAGGGATTGCGTATAGTTTCACATCATGTTTGATTGACAGTGCATTCTGTTGTATCTCTGCTACGTCCTTTGATGTCCACATGGATGCGGAACACTGTGCGAAGCTTAGTACGGAGGTGACTATCAAAAGTTCTTGCTAACAGGGGTGCATTAATTACCGCTAAAAATAGGGCTAAAGCTATGTAAATTAGTCCCGCCGCCCTTCTTTATACTTATTACTACCTTTAAGTTCAATAATATCTTAAATATAAAATAAAATACACTTTATTTAAGCTTAAATTTAGTATTAAAGTAGCTTATCTTAGTACTATTACTATACTTTTACCTTTGTTACTTAACTTTTTAGTATACTTTTTTATATTATTTTTCTAAGCTATAGCTAGGCTGCGTTAATAGCATTAAAATTAAATGGTTTATTTAGCTATAAGAGCTACTTTACTTTAGTATTTTAGTACATAGTTCCTTAAGCGTAGTAAGTGTATAAAAGTGCTTTATCTTTTTAAATCAAAATATATGGTTTTTCTTTTTAGCACTTCTTTATAAAAAAAATCAGCTTTAAAATGAAAACTTAAGTTTAGTAATACTACTAATTAATACTACTATAACTACTCTTATAAGCTAGCTTACTTATCTCTTTCACTTATCTTTATTATAAAACTTTACTAAGCTTATTACATAATTTAAGCTTTTTTATACTTATTATAAGCTTCTATGCCTTTTTTATAAGAGGCTTTAGAGCTTTATTTCACTTTTTAATCTAGAAAGTAGTATCTTTTTTCTTTTATATAGTCTTCGGCCTTTAGATAGTTATAGTAAAGACTTTTATAATTATATATAAAGTAGCCTTAGAATATAGATTTAAAGTAGCTCTTTTACTATTCTAAAATAATACTTTTAATGAAGACTTTATTTAGGCGTTACTATATATAATAGCTACTATAATAGTAGTTAAGAATAATAAAGTTCTTATTTAACTAAATAATATTTTTCTAATCTATATGTATTTAATTTTTATAAGTAATATACTACTTAAGTCTTTTTTATTTTATTCTTATTATTGACTTAAGCATTTTTACTAGCTTTATCTTATTATAACTAGCTACTTAAAGAACTGTTTATATAGTAGATAATAAGACGTTATAGATATAAATACTAAAATTACTAGTAATATTAGCCTAGCTCTTTTATCTTATAGTTATTATAGTATATATTCTCAGAAGTAGTATTATATTTTTTTTTACTTGTAAAAGTAGCTTGTATATAAGGTAACGTATTCCACCACCGAGAGTGCCACCCCACCGAGTGTGCCACTTTTTCTTGGCATCGCGAACATCACATATGAAAACTTGAATTACTCTACACTAGCTATAGATGCTTCGTACGACTCACTTGCATCTAACATAGAATCTTCTTCTACATCTTTTTGGCACGTACGGGCGTTATGGCCCACTCTCCCACAGATTCCACAGTGCCGTTGACCTGGCTGGGCCTTTTCTTGACTACCCCCACCACGCGCTTTCTTTGATATTATACGACTAGTAGAAGCACTTTCAGCTGCCTGCGATGCTCCTGCACCAAATTCTAGTGTCCCGCCTGTCTGAATCCGCTTTCTTTTACGCCCTCGGCGCTTTGTTACCTCTGCTAGTTGCTCTTCAAGCTCTCGTACGCGGGCCTTCATAAGCACATTCTCATGTAGCATCTCCTCAGCCCCTTTAATAAGCTTTGAAAAGCCTTCTTGTGCAGTAGTTGGTGACCGTACGAACGAGTCTCTCACAAGCTTCGA